GAGTACATTCTTGTCTGTTTATCTGTACTTTTACTTAAGTACAGTGTTTGAGTACTTTCTCCACCACTGCTGCTCCCCAGTTTGGAAGTTTACATTTTAGATATGGGGATCAAACCACTTCCCTCTTTAAATCATGCTTCTTTTTTTTTACACTTTAGCGCATAAAACATTTGGTTTCTCTCAGAAAGCACTTTGTCAAATAAATAAATAAATAAATAAAACAAACTGTGATAAATAAGTTCACACAGAAGTGCATTTAAGAAATTCTTTAGAATCTGAAATCTATATTTCAGTCTTCTTTAGCACATTGAGATCTAAGGTTAGTTCTTCACGGTGGAACTCCCCTCCTCGTCTGTTACAGCGAGAGAGAGAGAAAAACTGAACATTTCAAAGGAAACAGTCAATATGAACTAAAAGACTGATAAGAAATTGCTGTCAACTTTAAAAAGTGACTAACATGTTGAATTTTATCACTGGAAAAAAATAATAATAATTCAGACTTTTTTTTTTTTTCAAAATTCTGACATTTTTTCCAGAATTCTGAGATTAATGTAAAAAAATAATTGTTTTTTTCCCCTCAGTGGTCCTAAAAGAGTCAGTGTAAACACACAAACCGAGCACAAATCCTCCACTCATAAAAAGTAGCCATAAACATAAACATCTTCATTCTTCATTTGATTCAATAAGTTCTGTTACTGTATTTTCATGCCAGTCTTTCCAGTCTAATTTCTACATCCAGACGTAATTTGATAAAACTGAGTTTCCGGGCTGCCTGAGAACAAACTAAGTTATCATGATGTGCGCATGCGCAGCACGGTAAAGGGGGAAATGAAGCAAGGAGGGGTTGTTGTCTCGCTTCTTATATTTACAGTACAAGAAAACGTTCTCTGTAAAGTAAGGACAGTTTTCACCAAGGACCGTTAGTATATACACCACTTATTTCTTTGACTTTTTAACTGTTTCCTCTTCCCGCACCAGTGAATCCAGCTGTGGGTCCGGCAGCTGAAGGTAAGCCGTTTGTTTACCTTTCATTAGCATTAGCAAACTTTGTGTGCAACTTCCGTCACAGTTTCAAACTATTTTATTTAGCAGCTAGTCATAAGAAAAGGTTTGTGTGGCTTTCTTTCTGCGCGGTGAGTGTTTAGAAATGATAATTAGCGCTGCTAATTTAGTTGTACTGAGTCAAAGTTTCTAACAGCTGTCTGACTACAACTGTTTACCGCAACGCCCTGATATACCGTGATGTTTTTGAGCCTTTAAAATGGTTGTTARCCTTTGGGAACAGCACTTTCGTCATACTTAATTKCATTTATTTCCTCTCACATGACTCTCAGTCTGATTCAGGAAGCTGAAGACGAATCCAATCCAGTAATATTCCACTGCACAGCTGTTCAGTTCAGATACAGTAATATGGATTATTGACGAGTAATTCTGAATAAGTAATGTGATGTGCTCAATCGTTAAAAATATATATTCAACTTATTAACAAGAATGTGTTTGCTTTCAAAACAACAGCAGATGTCATAGACACTTGTTGTGGAAATAGCATTTACATTTTTTACCAACCCTTTTTCTGTTTTTTTAATGTGATCTTTTATGTTGAGTCTTAAGCACAAATGTGTCCCCATTTTGGAAACATGGTTTTATCCTATCCTAGCCAAATAAGGTTTTAAAAACAATACAGCTTCTTTTTGATAATTGAAGATGTGTTTGTCAACCTCAGCCGACTTGTTATTAAAGGCTTTTAGGCTTTGCTGCTGAGAATGAAGCAAGCACATTCTCAGAACTGCAACGTTTGCTCTTTATTTGCAAATAAGTGTGTTGCAAACAAAAAATGTTAATTTTTTCCTTTTTTAGCTTTCAATGTTGAAAGATAGTCCAGTTTCTCATATTTTACCATTTAAATTTGATTTATTTATTTATTCTTTGTGTATAGTTTATTTATTTATTTATTTATTTATTTATTTAACGAAATTAACCTTTCAGGATCTAGTCTATTTTTCAATATTTTTTGGCATTTGTGCAACAAAACAATAAGTAAAAATGTCCTGATGCATCTCAGTAATCCAGGTAAAAAATCAAAAAGAGAAAAATTGTATAGGTCTTCTGGACGGGTTCTTCTTTAATGAAATGTTTCGTCTCTCCTCCAAGAGACTTCTTCAGTCTGAGAGTTTCAGGCAAAATTCAGGCTTTTAAGCCCTGCCTCCATGTGACTGATACTGACATCACATGGCTATCGTTGACACCTAATTAACACCTATTGTTAACGGGGTGGAGTGATACTGGCAATAGCAGCACTGTAGGAGGGGGACAACTGAAAACGGAGGCCGACAGGCCTCGAAAGGCCCTGGAGCAGTGTGGTTATCCTGACTGGGCTTTCCTGAAAGCAGACAGGAAACACAGACAGGATTCCATGCAACCTTCAGGTGAAAATGAAGACCCCAAACCCAGACCCAAACCAGTGGTTATTCCGTATGTTGCGGGTGTTTCGGAGAAACTGAGACGTTTATTTTCTAAACATGATGTCCCAGTGGCTTTCAAACCCCAAAACACATTACAGCAAAGGCTGGTTCACCCCAACGATCCGGTGCCCCGGCACAAACAGAGCAATGTTGTATATGCTGTTAAGTGCCAGGAGGACTGCGACCAGTTATACATCGGGGAAACAAAGCAACCACTTTTCAAAAGAATGTCCCAACACAGACGAGCTACATCTAATGGCCAGAACTCTGCAGTTTTCACTCATTTACAGGCCAGCGGTCACTCTTTCAGAGATGAGGATGTTCTCATTCTTGATAGAGAGGAACGTTGGTTTGAGAGAGGAGTAAAAGAAGCCATTTTTGTGGAGAAAGACCGTCCATCATTAAACAGAGGTGGAGGCCTCCATTTTCAGTTGTCCCCCTCCTACAGTGCTGCTATTGCCAGTATCACTCCACCCCCTGTTAACAATAGGTGTTAACTAGGTGTCAACGATAGCCATGTGATGTGAGTATCAGTCACATGGAGGCAGTGCTTAAAAGCCTGAATTTTGYCTGAAACTCTCAGACTGAAGAAGCCTCTTGGAGGAGAGACGAAACGTTTCATTAGAGAAGAACCCGTCCAGAAGACCTATACAATTTTTTTCTTTTTGATAAGTAAAAACACATTAAATCTAAATTAAGAATATTCATTACATATTATTCTTCATTGGTAGCAGATATGTCGTACAGGATGTTATAAAGGCACATGTCTGTTATTTCTCAGCAGATAAACTGCCGGTCTTAGTCCAGTGATGTCTTCCTTCTGGTGGCCTTTGCTGGACGCAAACGTTACCACTTCTCCCAGCTGCTTCAACCAGAGCACCGTCCTGTCAGGCCATGACTTTGGTGGAGTGCCAATTGTCCTGCTGCTCAACTTCTGCGTTTTCATTGTACGTTTCTATCAGTTTGCCTCTCAGAATACCGAGCTTCAGTTAAGTGCATATTGTCTCAGTGTTATCAGAGGTTTTTTTCCCAACTTGCTTTGAATAATGGAATTGGTATAGAAACTATAATTTTAGTTGCTTTAATATGTGTCTGTGTCCTACTTGTGACTAATTACAGATTAATACAAAACACAAAGGCAGAAGATAAAGCTTTTGCCTATGTTTTTGTGTCATAAATGTGTCTGTGGACAGATTGTAATGAAACAGATAGTCATCACTGGATGTGCATTTACAACTGATTACTTTAAGGTTTTTTTCAGATATGTAGAAACATTTATTTATCCCATTTATTTTAACATTTGAAAAGGAACGTAAAGAAGTAAAAATGTATTCCCACCCTTTTCCAGTTTTCCTTTGGTCAAATATTTTTAATGTAAGTGTAAACAACTGGCCATCTCCCCCCTCTCGACAGTTGTGTTTGGGGCGGTTCTGAAAAAAAGCATTTTAAAAAGTCTCCAAACTTCAATTAATGCATAATTTAAGTTGGGGTTTTAGTTTGTGATCTTCATATTAATATTGTAGTGTTAAACAACAGCATTAAAAGCCAATTTAATTTAATCTAATCAATTTATGTTGTTAGTTACATTTAAAATCTAATTCCAGTTCAAACAGAATAACCTATTGTCAACATAATTATGGAGTGTGATTTATTTTCAACTCAAAATATCTTCAAACTAATGATATATGAAGTTATTAGTGAGAAAGATATGTCTGGATAACAGCAGACTGACTGCTCGTAAAATATTGTTGAATTTTGTTCGTATCTGACAAAAATCTTACAATACGAGAAAATTGGTGAATACCACAAATTCTCCTAAATCACTCGTACGCACAACTTAAGAACAAATCTGTGCGTTCGAACGGTTCCTGCATGAGGCCTAATGAGTTTTACCAACATGACTTTAACTCTGTTCCTTCTCATCGTGGTTTTAGCCTAAAGCTCTGGGATGGAAGGCAAGGAGAATATTTTTCAAAATATGCTTTTGTTAATTTTTGTTGCTGTTTTGAACAAGTGGGTCATACCTGTTGCAAATTGTGTGTTTTCTCGACACAGGTGTTGCTGCTCGTCTTCACAGTCATCAGAAAGAAGTTCTGGGACTACGGTCGTTTAGCTCTGGTTGCAGACAATGAAGGGTTGGTTTCAAAGTTTTCAAGTTTTGGCTGGAAGGGTTTTGTAGATATTTGGACTTGAATTTGAAAAGCTAAAGTAAACTGGATCATCTGGTTTTCTGAGTAAATTTATCTCTCCGTATCAGGTTCAACGAGTCATCCCACCGTAGCTATGGGCGAATGCCGTCCACTGCATCCAACATGGAGGAACCTGAGTATGAAACGGTACGTAACAAAAAAGTAACAAATCAAATTTTTTTTAAATAAAGCAATTAATGAGTTTCCCCTTAGGACAAATTGCTTTGCACCTTTATTTTTAAATTATACATCTTAACATATTTTTCATGCATTTTGTTATTTATTTATTTATTTATTTATTTATTTCTGGGTCAAATAACTGTTTTATTTATTTAAATTCAGAAATTTTGCTCTTGGCTGCCGTACACTGTCAGAATGGAGTGAGTGTCCATTTTATTTAACTAATTTTTCTCTGTTAAATGTTATGTTTTCACATGTTGTGTAGAATTCACCGTACATGAGGTCTGATTTCCTGCTCATTAGTACCTTATGTGTTTGGGTTTCAGGGAGGAAAAGATCAAAGAAAAATGTGGCACCGATGCTATACGCTACTTGTCCTTCCAGCGTCATTTAATAATCCTGCTAGTGGTTCTTAATGTCACGTCTCTTGGAATCATTCTGCCWGTAAACATGACTGGAAAACTGCTGGGTGGGTTTAAAATAATAACAATCACTGTTTATCTTTTAGCTAAAGCAAAAACTGTTTAAAAATTTTTTTTTGTATTTTTGTACAGTGGTTCTAAGAAACAAAATGAAAACAAAGAAAAAAAAGAAAATCTGGTTTTTTTTTTCCACCTGTAAATGTCTGAAAAAAAAACCTTACATGGACTTTTGTGTTTTTTTCAGACAATGAACCTCATAGTTTTGGAAGGACAACCATTGGGAATCTTAGCACTGGGTAATTACCATAGAAGTCCATGATAAGTACTTAAACTGTATGCTAAAGCAAACAAATCTTTTCCAGCAGAAATTTCCTTAAACATAACCATTTACGTCTTTAATTCCTTCCATTTTAATATTGCAGAAACAACCTGTTGTGGCTGCACACGGTGTTTGCAGTTCTCTACCTGTTCCTGACGGTGGTGTTTCTGCGACGACACACATCAAAAATGAAAGACATGCGCAGAGAAACCGTGAGTCACTTGACTGCTCAAACCAACAGGCTTTTATGTTAGGAGATGTAAAATTTAGAAATATTTTTTTTGATTGTATTTGCAGTCCAGAAACGTCTTATTTGTGTGTTTAATCCCTAAAACGGCAACAGAGGATGATGTGAGGACCCATTTCACGTGAGTAAACTACAGTAAATAGGATATTTTATGCTTGGATTATCTTCTTGTTTTGATGCAGGCATGTTATTCAAACAGCTGATTGTGACTTTCAGTTCTGTTTGCTCATAGGGAGGCGTATCCTACTTGTCAAGTGTACGATGTGACTTTAGGCTACGATGTGGCCAAGCTGATGCACCTAGATAAGGAAAGGTGAGGCCTTTTATTTAAAAAAACTGTCTTAGTTTATTATTTTGTTTTGCAMTTGGTCTCAATACAGAYAACTTGCTGTAACATACATRTAATTARCTTTTTGTTACAAMAATTTATTTCTTCCCAACTATAGTSAGCATGTAAACAGGTGAGAATATCCGCATCTGCAGAAAGTCTTTTTTAAAATCACATTTATTCCTTTTTTAAAGGCACAGTGTGTAGGATTTTGTCAATTCTTTTAGCCGAAATTGAAATAATCACTAA